ACATTAAAATATACTTATTGTGAAATTAATTTTACGGCACATTAAATTATGGAAAAACGAATCATGTTAGGTTTGTTAGCACGATTTGGGCATTTGCTTCTTTTGGGAAAATACATGTGTCACACATTATAGTTCATTTGAGGATCCTACTTTGATCAGTTTGGGTTTGAAAGCAAAACTTTTGGAATTTGCTACGGTGACATGCACTTTTCGGTCGACCTCATATAGGATCAGGTCGACCTAATTTGTTGTTTTAGTGTAAAAACAGTTTCATGGTGCCTACTTTGGAGATTCATATATTACAATTGGCTATATGAAAATTGGAGATTGAAGGCTTGTTTTGAAGCTGAAATGTCCCTCTACACATTAAAGTACTTGAGAGCTCAATAGAAAGTCCAGAAGACCATTTTTGAACCTGACCAAAAGTCTATGCCAAAACTGGGAAACTGCCTGAAAATGGCTAAGTCTGGCAACATGTTTGTCAAGCCTACTTTGGAGCTCAATTTGAGAAGCATGAATGCGAGTCAAGTCTAGGGGCCTCTACCACGTTAAATTACGTATTTTTTTATACCAAGGCAAGGCATTTGATGAAAGATTGAATATCTTTAAGGCTTCAAACAAAAGGCTCGAAGTTGCTACGAAGGCTGTTTTTCTGGCCGCTTGCTTATGCTCGAAGTCTGCCAGAAAAACAGCCTTCGTAGCAACTTCGACCCTTTTGTTTGAAGCCTTACAGATATCCAATCTTTCATCCAATGCCTTGAATTTGTATAAAAACATACTTAATTTAATGTGGTAGAGGCTCCTGGACTCGACTTGCATTCATGCTTCTCGAATTGAGCTCCAAAATAGGCTTCACAAACACGTTTCCAGACTTAGCCATTTCCAGGCAGTTTCTCAGTTTTGGCATAGCCTTTTGATGTGGTTCAAAAATGGTCTTCTGGACTTCCTATCGAGCTCTCAATCACTTCAATAAGTAGAGGGACACTCCAGCTTCAAAACAAGTCATTAGTCTTCAATTTCCATCTAGCCAATTGTATGATATGAATATCCAAAGTAGGCACCATGAACTGTTTTTACACTGAAACAACAGATTAGGTCGACCTGATCCTATATGAGGTCGACCGAATCCTAAATGAGGTCGACCAGATCCTATATGAGGTCGACCGAATTCTAAATGAGGTCGACCTAATCTTAACTGAGGTCGACCGGAAAGTGCAAGTCACCATGACATGCATGTCACCGTAGGCACACCCAAAACTTTTAAATTAGCTAATTAATAAGTGTGCCGAACACGATGATATAATCAAGAACTTTATATAAAATTGTCTCTATTTTTCTATTTAATTATATATATATAATTATATATATATGTATGCATGCGATTCATGTCAAAACGGTATCAATTGCTGCTTATGATATTGTGAACAAGAAGCACATGAATTTGAAAAAAATCATTTAAAATTGACTTTAATTTGAAGGATTTAGGGGTTTAGGTTTACTGTTTGGGATTTTGCATTGGGATTCAAAATTGAAGGTTAAGGGGTTAGGGTAATAGATTCATTTGTTATGATTCTATGTCATATCATCATATTAGATTGAAAGTACTAATTAAAGTTCAAAATTTGATGTACTATGGACACTTTTAGAGATGGGTGCACTGAGTGCACCCAAAAAAGTGAGTGCACCGAAGTAGCCACCATATATATATGGGTTAATACTTTAATTTGGTCTGAACTATAGACAAACTTTCTACATTGGCCCGTGGTATCGGAAATTGCTATTCTGGCCTAAACTATGTAGCATACTTTCTTATTTGGCCCGGAGGCGGGTTTGACCATTAAATTGGACGGTCAACCGAGTTGACCGTTAGTCAAGGTCCACCTCACTTGCCACGTAAGCTATCAGGGAATAAAAATTCATTTTTTAATTTTTGAATTTTGTTTATTTTCTAACAATAAAAATAATAAACGAAAAAAATTAATTAAAAGAGCTCTCCAAATTATTTTTAATTAATTTTAGAAATTCAAAAAAAATTCAATATTTCAAAAAAAATAATTTTTTATTTCCTGATAGCTGACGTGGCAAGTGAGGTGGACTTTGGCTAACGGTAAACTCGGTTGACCGTCTAATTTGACTGTCAAACCCACCTCCGGACCAAATAAGAAAGTATACCTACATAGTTTAGGCCAGAATAGCAATTTTCGATATCACAGGCCAAAGTATAAAATTTGTCTATAGTTCGGGCCAAACTAATGTATTAATATATATATATATATATATATATATATATATATATATATATATATATATATATATATATGGCGATGTCTTCGGCGCACCTACTTTTTTAGGTGCACTGAACGCACCCATTTTCTTGTTTAATCTTAACCATTGAATGCATCTAACGGTTACAATAATTCAGTTTGTTTATAATTAATTATTAACTGAATTTAAAATTATTGATAATTGCAATAAAGTCCCTAACTCTAACTCTACCCTCCGAGATTATTTTTCCCCTCTTTACGAACCCTTCTTCTTCCTCACACATTTAGTTTAATTGAATTACATCTGATACTTTTGCTACTGCCGCAACGGATTGAAGGTGAAGCAGAATAATATTCTGATTCCGGGTTCAGGATCCTGGTCGAACTGAGCGACGATTACTTTTCCTCTCTTCTTCCCTAATTATTTTCCCCTCTTCCACCGTCAATACTTTTCCCAGAGGAAGGCGACGATTACTTTCCAGTGGCCTGGCATCGTCGTCCTTCGCCACTAATAACGACTAACTAATTAATAACAATCTTTGATTAATCTAACAACTATTATTCACTTACACAACTTATTAAATTTGGTGGCTTAAGCTGCACCCTGCATGAACTATATGTAACCAGGTAACAAGATTATATTCTACTCCGCATTGGGTTGTTGTTTGGATTAAAACAAAGTAAAATATTTGGTGGAAGTATAACAGAAATTGAGCTTTTGGTTGATCTGACCCTCGTAGCCAAGTTTAGATTGACGGAGGAGATAGTTTAATTTAATATAGTGGTTAACTGCTGGATTTTCTTTTGCCGCAAAGGAAATGGTGAAGCACTGAAGAAGCCTAATTCCGCTCGGAATCTGACAGGGAAACAAAAGGAAAGTAGCTATCAGTTTTTTTGAGTTCATTTTTTATGATTTACAAATAAAATGATGTGTTCAAACCCCTCTCTTCACACAACAAAACGACGGCCGGATGCTACCCTGTTCCCGGCGAGGCTGCAACAGGGGAACATGAACAATTGAACATCTGCACCTTCGTCGTTCGTCGAAGCTTCTGCCGGGTGCTACTCTGTTTGCTTTTCAATTATTTAGGAAATGGGCTAAAATAAGAGACTTTTGACAATCAAACACAACCTTTCCTTTCTTCAATCTCCTTCTACTTCTATTCTTGCATCCTCAAAAGTCTCCAACATATTTGTATGTACAACATATAATCAAAGGAATTTGACTCCTGAGTATCGCCCCAGACTCAATCAGCACTAACAAAAATTTGTTTCCCCCTCCGATTTCCATTTATCGAGCTGAAGCCTCCCCCCGCATATCAACCCGCACGAACAGAGAACAGCAGCACAAATCCACCACACAAGGATTCATTCCAGTTCTGTTCAATCCAACGTTTTCCTCCATTTTTTAAAGCAATTTCGTAGGGCCTCATGTATGCTTTCTTGCCGATCGGTTCTCAGCGATCCACGCCGGATCCTTCCTGTCATCTCCAGGCGTTCGCCGGCTGCAACAACGAAGCTTCTTGCTCGTCGACGACTCCAGCATTGAACAGGGATGGTTGTACAAGGGGTGTATGGTCGGAGACACCAAGAACTTTGTTCTCCGATGTCGGAGTCGGCGTCACCGTCACAGAGATTGCGTGGCCGCCGTCGGCCAAGTGATCTTCTATTTTTGGTGAGAGAGTCACTGTTTGTTGTGAGGGGAAGAAATCATAATTTGCGGGATCAGTTGCTTTTAGGTCCTTAATTGCAATTATCAATAACTATAAATTCTCTTAATAATTATTGTATACTTTATTAGTTAATAATTAATTAAAAAGTTATTAATTATTGTGAATCGTTGGATATTTTCAACGGTCAAGATTAGACCAGAAAATGAGTGCGTTCAGTGCACCCAAAAAAATGGGTGCACCGAAGTAGCCACCTATATATATATATATATATATATATATATATATATATTTTTTGAGTGTGTTCATGAGTCAATTGTTTGAAGATAATAATGAAGAGGGCCTTTTGATGTCACAGTCACAGTACACTGAGACAAAGATGTGGACCTTCTTCAGTCATGACTCATGACCATCTCCTGCCTTGCCTGCCCCTCTCTCTCTCTCTAACTAACTCACTTTAGCCATATAATATATTCTTCTCCTTTTCCTCTTTCACAAATCTAATCTTCCTAAAACATAATGACAACTGACCCTATTACTTCAGAAGAAAAACGATAAAAGTATCAATCGAGCGGCTTAACTGCTATATCAACAAAACGAGATAATCGTTTGTGAAAAAGCAACAAGAAATTGTACAGAAGGGCCGGGCTTTGGAGGATTCATGTTGGGTTTTTGGCCCATAAAACTCTAAGCCCGCATGAACCTCTGCCCCAACAAGCCAGTCACTGTTGTGAACCGCAACTTACAAAGTTGGCATTTGGCAGCTGAAAAACTAACACATAATTTCATAAACCTTTCCTTCAGGTAAAATCCAAACCAGTACAAGCCAAGCAAATTCCATAAGCACATAAAAAGGAACCTCAATGGTACTTTCACCATTCATTGATTATATGAATATACATATACAAGTCAATTTACAGGAACCAACATCCCACATTGACTTTTTCTGGGTGTTTGGTTTGCCTCACTCGCAAGCTGCACCAATCGGAGAAAATTTTTGTTGCAGCCTGGATTAATATAAACAAAACAAGAACTGGAATCTCAAAAGTCCTGCAAAGGCCAGGATTCACTCTGCCATGGCTGCTCCACTTGCCTTTGCTGCCAGTTTCCATACAGTCAGTAGACCTGTAGCATCTCCAGTGAAAACCAGTCCCCCAGGACCTCCTTTGATGGTCCTTACTTCACCTTTCGCAAATATCCTCCCTTTCTCAGCAAAGGAGGGCAGCTCATACAACCCAACTGAATCGTCGTTCCAGGAGCACAACAAAACCGGCTTGCCATCCGGGTCTTCCACCCCACACATGGCTAGAGCACCATCACCTTCTTCGTATGTATACACCGCCTCAAAGCTTCCATCTTCACCGGTGGCAGCCCACACCTTGATCTTCTGGTCCAATGAGCATGACAGAAGGAAGTCTGAATAGCAGAGGAGAGACATCACTGCATTGTCATGCCCCTTCATCGTCTGAATGCACTGAAGAGTGCTGATATCCCAAACTTTGATGGTTCCATCCATGGAGCCAGAGAACAATCTCCCACCTCCAACCTTCATTGATATGACAGCACTGGTATGCCCACTGAGTGTTGCAGCAGGCTGAAAAGGGTTGCCTTGTTGCTCACCAGTAGCACTGCCATTCCACGCCAAAATCACTCCATCCTGAGCACCACCAGCAAACAAAAACCCCATACCAACCTCCAGGGCATAAACTTGGCCAGTTGGGCCAGTGAGACTGCAATCAGCCCCAGTTTGAAGGTTCCATGCCTTGACGGCATTGGGTAATCCCACAAAGAGCCATTCACCTTCAGTAATCAAACACCCAACTTTCCCACCAGCATTCTGTGTGCCCACAATCTGACCGCTAGTGCAATCCCAAGCGTGGACAACCCCATCACTGCTCCCCGTGAAAAGCTTATCAGATCCAGAAGGAAGAGCGATTCCAGAAATCACACCCGTGTTACCGTTTCCTTCTAGCCTCGCAAGCATTGAAAACCCTTCTCCACGGGACCAGGAGTGCAAGAATCGACACTTATCATCGCCCCTGCTGCAATTCCCAGACTTCCAGTCGCGACAAACCTGCTTCTCGCTCTTCTTCCGAGCCGCGCCGCCACCGACGGCCGTAGATTGGGATTCAGAACGGGACGCGCGGTGGTAGACATGAGAAGAACGCACGCCGTTAGAAATCTGCTGCTGCTGCCGCGGCAGCGGAAGTTCTCCCCCGTGAGCGAATCTGCAAGGGTTTCGGTTGCACATCCCCTGTTGCCAGAAGCGACAAACACTCTGGCTGCCACTACTCTTCACAGGCCCAACCCTAATCCGTTCGTGGACACTCATATTCATCACCATATATGCTGCAAAAAGACACCGGCAAAGAAGACGAAGGGAAAATCGACTAATCAAACTCGAGCGGCGGCGGACGACGACGACACAAACGCAACGAAACCCTAGAAAAAGACTGCGCGCTAAATCGGGAAATACTGGAGTAGACTGGGAGCGAACCTGGAGAAATACTGAGAGAGCGACGCCGACGATCGATTGTACGCTGGCTGAGATGGAAATCGGAGCTTGCTACAGATGATGTTAACGATCGGATTCAGACGAGAGATGGGGAATTTCTCAGACAACGGGACGGGAAAAAGGAAAACGTGAAGAAATAAAGTTAGCTGTAGTAGTGTGGGATTTTATACCTATTGATAGCGTGGCGCGGAAGGAAAGCTAAACCGCGTCGTCATTTTCCGGTTCTCCTTCTCCTGTGGGGAAACGGAATCCGCCTTCATTTCGGTTTTGGAAAATACAGTTCGGGCTCAGATCAGAGCTATATCTCATGGGCCTGATCTTGAGCCTGAGTCTGGGCCAGGCCCTTTATCTTCGTACCACTTATAAAACAGGGGCCGGTTTGCTCGCATTCGAAGTCGGTTGGATAGAGGCTCTCGTTTCTGCTTCCTGGATGCGGAAGTGGCCTCGATGTTGGGGGGGCATCGGTTCGGTTCGGTCGAAACCGAACCAAAAAGATGGATACCGGGTCGGCTACTTCCTCAAATGGCCAAACTGAACTCGAACCGGAATATAATTCGGTTCGGTTCGGTGCTCAAACCGAAAATTGACCTGCTATATGTTTGTGAATGCCCTGCTCATCTGTTTATGGCAGCTGCTGCCTCATTTTTTTAGAGGAACTTGAGACAACAAATAAGCACACAAAGTCTCAAACATCAATTGTCAACCATTCTAAAATTCAAGACAAGTACAAATACCAAAATCCACCATTCAAACATCAAAGTCTACCATATGAAAAGATAAATTACATCATACTTAAAAACATAAATTGAAACTCCAAAGTCCATTTATCATCTCTTGGTTCTTCATTGCTCCTTACTTCTTATTTCTTCAATCTTGGACAATTGACTCCTTTGCTAGCCATTAGCCAAGGCCTAAGAATAAATAAAATAATATAGAATTATACATGAAAAAAATGGTTAGTGATGAATAAATATAGAGATAAATACAAATAGAATAAAACCATTGCTCTAAAAAGTTAAGATTACCTACTTGTGAGATCAATCATGCATGAAATCGGAACTATCACAAAAACCACTACTAGATCCATCGCCATCGGTACGACCACTTGTTACATTCGAAGTGGAAGTAGATGAAACAAGGTTATCTCTAATGGATATTGCATCCATCAACTTGTTCAATTCTGCAACATCAAACCAAAAAAATCAATATAGACTAATCATAAGCTAAAAATCAATCACAATGTAAATATGTAATGCTAGTTGTAAGATTTTACCTTCATCTATTTTGTCAACCTCTTCCGCGTCCTCCTCATCTAATGATGGTCTAGAATCACCTCGAATCCAATCTGAGCTACAAATTAAGGCCTCCACTATTCTAGGAGTCAATGAACTTCTGAAATCATCGAGAATCCTCCCACCGGCACTAAATGCAGATTCGGATGCAACGGTAGAAATTGGGACCGCTAGAACATCCTTAGCCATCATAGAAAGGGCTGGAGGAGCTGAAGGATCACCACCCTCGGGCTCGGGAACTTCATTCTCTGATGATTCTTGGTCCTAAATCATCCAAACACAAACATAAATCAATTAGCTAGCTATCTTTTTTCTATCAATTAACAAACATAAACATATATAAATCGAAGTCAATCAAACCATGCTTCAACCTTGAGAATGTTTAATTTTTATCTAATCGTTTAATTTTGCTTAGGCCTTGATGATGATTAATGTTTATGTAATTACCTGTTGGAGTACTTCTTAACCATCCCTTGTTCTAGAGGAATGTAAAGTGAAAATAATTGGTTCCTAGCCAATTAATGAAATTGCAGATTTATCTTTACAAAAAAGAGTACTCATCATCCCTAAACACTGGAGTACTTCTTAACTTCATTCTCTGATGATTCCTAGCCAATTAATGAAATTGCAGATGGGAAACAAACATCAAAAAGATCCTTCGAAATAACATCTACCAACACAAAATATTCACTCTAGGATCCATGATTCCCTGCTGTCTTTTTTCTTGGTTTTTTTTATGCTAGCTAGCTTCATTTTACAGAATAGACATCACTACTACTAATGGAACATATTGATGAATGATTGTTTCCAAATATCGGATAGTAAAATCGCAAACTCAAAATCATTTCAAAACTGGAAAATGGAAATAGATAGTTACCAAAACATGAACATTCTCGGTTGCAATATTTGGACCGTCAGTGTGAGAAGAGCTGCCAGGATTTTTTCGTTTGTTGGATTTTCGATTGGTAGTGCTCATGGCTTTCGATGGAGAGAAATGGGCAGATGGCTACTGTGGTGATTTTTCAGTGGTCAGTTGCCGACTGCCGTCGACGAGGGGCGACAATGGGGGCCTGCGCCTGCACTGCTGGAAGCTGGATGGTGGTGGCTGTCGTGCTCTGCTCTGCTACCCCCGGCGCCGGCGGTGACTCATGGTGCAGAGATGGAGGGCGGCGACTCTCGAGACTCGAGTTGTTGTTGGGAGGCAGGCGTGGCGGCGACTGGCAATCAGTGATGGGAGGGCGGCGGCGACGGCGACTGAGGGTCGGGAGACGGAACGGAATGGAGTGGAGTGTGGAGAGCAGTGGAGTGGAGCTGTGGAGGGACGATTCACGATCGATTCGAAGGAGACTCTGGAGAGTGGAGAGGAGAGGGGCAGATGGCGAGTCCGAGAGGAGAGGCGGAGAGGGTTAGGGTTTGTTTCTTTTGGGTTGGGTGCTGGGCTGGGTTTGTTTCCAATGGGAGGCTGGCTGCTGGGCTGGATTTCTTCAATTGGGTTTGGGCTTGCAGCCCTTGTCCCTTGGCCCATTACCAGCTTATAAACAATTTCGGTTTACGGTTCGGAAAACGGAATTCGGTTTCGGGTGGTACCACCATGTATTCCGAATTAGAAGAATTTTGCATCCGAATCCCGATCCGAAATGAAGGAAATTTGGTTTCGGTCGGTTCGGGGTCAGTTCGGTTCGGAGAGTTAAAACCGAACCGGACGCCCACCCCTACTCGATGTTCAGCTCCGGCATGTCACGGACCAAGGCTCTGAAGTCTGATCATCATGCCCTCTTGTTCCATAGTCCAGTCGTTATATTATTTTACTGAAAGTTGTCTCCGTTTTTAGGGTTCTGAATTGTCCAAAAGCGTTTTTTTTCCCCTTCAAGTAATGACCACAGATAGAAAAAATATATACAATCTATCCAGAACCCGCTCAAAACACCACGTACCGGCCTTGATGAGGCAGTTGCACTAGCAATTTCAGGAATGGGTCCAGTTGCCTAAGGAGCAGGGGCTGCTTCGGGTTGATCCGGGCACGCATACTTCAGGTCCTAGTCGCACGGATGGGGTAATATGCATGTGGGATGGGGCTACAAGAAGTGGATCTCACTCGGCAGGGGGGTTGGTGGTGCTTACTCCATATCGGGAGCTGTTGTTGGCTGCGGGGACTCAGTTCCCTTGCATTGATGACCCTATGGTGGTCGAGCTGCTAGTCCTGCGGGAGGCTGTCTGTTGGTGTCTGGCCAAGGGTTTCATTGAAGTTCGTTTTGAGGGGGATGCCCAGGTAATCATTGAGAAGAGGCGCAGGTCAACGATAACCGGATGGAGGCTATTCTTGAGGAAATAGTTCAATATTTTGCCTTGTATTCCGGTTTTAGTGTTCGTTTTGTAGGTCGGCGTAGCAATAGGGTAGCCCATTTGGTGGCTAGAAAGGCCCTCTCTTTGTCGCCGACTATGATTCGTTCTTTTGATTTCCAGACCTGGCTTAACTCCAGGGCTTAACTACCTCGTTCTGAATTAATATATTCCTATTTTTTGTAAAAAAAAAAAACCTTACAAAATTAAAAGAACCTAAGAGGTCGTTTGCTTGTAGGGTTTTCATCATAGATTTTGGATTAAAATCTCACATACACATGGGATTATGCACAAAGTCCATGTTTGGTGTTAAAGTGGTAATGGATTATGGTGTGTGGGCCCCATGCTTGTGGGATTATTTTGAGGTCAAAATCTGTGGGGCCCAAGAATTAGAAAATCTCACCTATTTAGTTGGGATTTTGTACGTAGGAGGCTAAAATTCATGATGGCAAATGATGGTTCTATACTCATGTCTTTTTAATATTTCTTATATTGAACATCAAGGACACAAATCATTAAGGTACAAATATAAATTCAACCTATAATTAATAAATCCCATGGACACAAATCCAATATGAAATCCAACACACAAACAAACACTTTTTAAAATCCAATACAAATCCAAAATAACAAAATCCCACATTATCCTCCCTCCATAAAATCCAGGATTTTACCTAAATCCTTCATTTTGCAAAATTCTATAAGCAAACTACCTCTTAATTCAAGAGGAGATAGTAACAAGACTTTACACACCACTTTATGAGTAGCCTCATCTGCAGTTCTTGAAACTTCTATAAACTCTAAACAAAATGACATTGAAGATAGTGGAAGGAGACAATCACGAAGCACAGGTCCTCTGAGTGAGTCTGAAGATAAACCCTGACGAAACTTATGGATCACCACTTTTGAATGGCATTCGATGATGAGGCGAGGCAGGGACTTGGAAACCACGAGTGAAATGACATCCCATGCTGCAAGTATCTCCACGAGGTAAGGGTCAGCTATGTCGGAGTGTTGGGATCAGAACCGCCAACACAACATGTCCATCTGCCCCGAGAACAATCAGGCCAGACGAGAAACCAGAATCACGAACAACAACATCAAAGTTTATCTTGAGGAAATCATCTTGAGGAGTAACCCAGGAGGTAGGCCGAATCGATGAGGGGCGAGGAGGAGGAACTGGAGCGGGAGGGAGCGAGGAGGAGGAGGAGGAGGAATTGGAGCGGGAGGGAGCCAGGAAGACACTTCAAAAACTTGGAAATAACATTGACGAGCTAGAGACTGGGCATGTGGTTGATAATGCTCAAAGACCACCTATGATGTTTCCATGATAACTTTCTCTGGAAAGAAGAAGTCTTCAAAAAAGAAGGGAACTAATACTAAAAGTGAGGAAAAAGAGGAAGTGAAGGCAGTTGAAGAAGTCGCAGACACTTCAAAGAATAAGAAGAAGAAAAAGAAGAGTGGAAGGTCTGCACAAGAAGAGGACGATTTGGATAAGATTCTTGCGGAACTTGGAGAAGGGCCATCAGTTCCAAAACCTTCTGCACTGCCTCCTGTGGAGGAGAAAGCTCAGGTTCAATCTGAACCAGTTGCCGAGACAGTTGGCAAAGAGGTGAAGGATGGAGAAGTGGAAAAGGAAGAGTCTGCTGCAGCCAAGAAGAAGAAAAAGAAGAAGGAGAAAGAGAAAGAAAAGAAGGCAGCGGCTGCTGCTTCTGTTTCAGAGGTTAAGGAAGAAAAGGTAGAGGAGGTAAAGGGTGTTACAAATGAACCTAAGAAGGGTGATGCCAAGGGCAAAGCAGCAGATAAGAAGCTCCCAAAGCATGTCAGGGAGATGCAAGAAGCTCTTGCTAGGAGGAAAGAACTTGAAGAAAAAAAGGCCAGGGAAGAGGAAGAGAAGAGGAGGAAGGAAGAGGAGGAAAGGCTCAGGCAAGAAGAACTTGAAAGACAAGCGGAGGAGGCTAAGCGTAGGAAGAAGGAAAGGGAAAAAGAGAAACTCCTGAAGAAGAAGCAGGAGGGAAAACTGTTGACTGGGAAACAGAAGGAGCAACAGCGGCGGTTGGAGGCAATGAGAAACCAAATTCTCGCTAGTAATGCTAATCTTGGCCTGCCTTCAGGGGACAAAGAAGCAGCACCAGCGAAGAGACCAATTTACAAAACTAAGAAAACAAAACCAGCTCACAAGCATGAAAATGGTGCAGCATCTGTTAATCCCGAGCAAGACAGTGAAATAAAAGGTAAGGAAGAAGACGAGCAAGAGTTGGTAGATGCAGGATCTGTCGAAGAAAAGGTCAAGGATGTGGAAACAGAAAAGGTGGAAGAGAAAGTGGCAGTTGCTGAAGGAACCAAAGAAAATGGAGTGGAGGAGGAGGACGATGATGATGAAGAATGGGATGCAAAGAGCTGGGATGATGTCAGCCTCAATGTGAAAGGTGCTTTTGATGATGAGGAGGTTGATCCTGACCCTGAACCTACTGTGAAGAAAGGTGATAAGCTTGTCATACCTGCTGCTCGCAGTGCAGGTTTCATGCAGTTACTCTGTTTTCCAAGCAAACCTTTATCTAGTCTCAAATCCCTACCTTCTTAATTGTTGATCTCAGTTTCCTGTTTGCCCTTACAGCTTCCGCTCCACTTGCGGCCAAAACTCCTGCTTCCTCACAAGTGAGCAAAGTTCAGGATGTTCAAAGTAGAAAAAGTAAGCCCCTTACAGAACAAGGTGGGAAGAAACGCTCTGCTGTTGCCAAAACTGGAGCCCCAGCTTCGGATGTCGCCAGTAAAGAGCCGGAAGAAGACCTCAGATCACCAATTTGTTGTATTATGGGTCATGTTGATACTGGTAAGACCAAGCTCCTGGATTGTATCAGAGGCACCAATGTGCAAGAAGGCGAGGCTGGGGGTATCACACAACAAATTGGTGCAACATACTTTCCTGCTGAGAACATAAGAGAGAGAACTAGGGAATTGAAGGCTGATGCAAAATTGAAGGTTCCAGGTTTGTTGGTTATCGATACCCCTGGTCATGAATCTTTCACCAATCTTCGTTCACGAGGCTCCGGGCTATGCGATATTGCCATTTTAGTTGTTGACATCATGCATGGCTTAGAGCCACAAACAATAGAGTCACTCAATCTCTTGAGAATGAGGAACACAGAATTCATCGTGGCCTTGAATAAGGTGATTCCTACTACTGATTGTATTGTTGGTTTAATTTATGAGGGCATGCTCTTGAGATGGTTTTTTCTCTGATCCCGCTGCTGTTTACTGTTTATTTTGTGAACTTCATAGGTGGACAGACTCTATGGGTGGAAAGTATGCCGAAATGCACCAATTGTCAAAGCAATGAAGCTACAATCAAAAGATGTCCAAAATGAGTTCAATATGAGGCTTGCACAGGTCCTAGACTTAGCAATTGTTTTTCTCTCCCTCTGCTTGAGGTATCCTGACTGACTCACAGTAATTCTTCTGTTTGGTCCAGATCAGTACTCAGTTACAGGAACAGGGACTAAATACTGCATTGTACTATAAGAACAAGGAGATGGGAGAGACTTATAGTATTGTACCAACAAGTGCTATTAGGTTTGTCACTCATCATTTTGTTGTTGCCCTTTTCTGCCAAATTCAGCCTATTGGGAGCCATATTGATTAGTTAATGGCCTTTTGTTTATATATATTTACAGTGGAGAAGGCATTCCTGATTTACTGCTCCTGTTAGTTCAATGGACTCAAAAGACTATGGTAGAGAAACTCACGTTCAGCAATGAAATACAGGTACTTGTTTGGCCACGTCTAGTAATCTACTGCGCAACCTAAAGTTAAGCGTGATGTTTGATTGTTGTTTTTTATTGTGTTCCAGTGTACTGTCCTGGAGGTCAAGGTTATTGAGGGCCATGGGACTACAATTGATGTTGTTCTAGTTAATGGCGTGCTTCATGAAGGAGATCAGATTGTTGTTTGTGGTTTACAGGCATGTAATTAGTATATGCGTTTTATTGTTGAAGATGTGATTAGTCAAATTATGGGTCTTTGCTAACCAGATCTTGAAATTCCAGGGACCAATTGTCACCTCCATTAGAGCTCTCTTAACACCTCATCCAATGAAGGAACTCCGTGTTAAGGTTAGCATCTTTATGCTCCTTGATTGACTTGTATTGCTCTATAGATGTGAATGAAGAAAATTTCGACGCAGAAATAGTAAATTGTCTGGATGAATTGTGATGCTACTACTGTTTCCGAGTGTGAACAAACACGTCACTGGTTCAAAGTTTTTGCAGATTAGGAACGGTTATATTCAACTTCGCCGTTGTTAGTGTGAAGCTTTTTTCTTCTTAATTGGTGAATGCTGGCTGTGAAAGGTTGGACCTGAGGGGTGCTGGATAATCTGTGAATAGTATATCACTAGGATTTGAACCTAGCCAGTATTTAATAAAGAATCTTCGAATTTATAACTTCCATAAAAATTTCTCACTTGCAAACACCATGGTTACAAATTTTATCGTGGCCGAGAGTTTGCACTTTGCTTTAATTTACTAGAAACAGACATAACCTGAAACTACTTTTGGGTTAACTTTTTTTCATTTTTGTATAAGGGTGATATAGGTTTGGGTTTACTAAGTTAAAGAATTTGAACACTATGCATAGTGTTGAATTGTGTGATCTTTTCTTTTAGGTCCTTTCGATTTGTGCATTCCAATTCTATTACATCTCCTTTTCTGAAACACGTCCTGCTAAGATTTGATTGATGAGTTCTTCGTTATAGGTAATCTGATTCGTCGTCAGCGCCCTTTTGTGGCATGTGCAAATGTTTGTACAGCAGCTTGTGAATTTTTATATGGATGATATTGACAGGGATGGTTGATTCATCTTGTTAATTGGGCATATTTAAGAAGTTGGAATTCTTTTTTGTCATCTTTCTGTTTGGTGTTTACTTTTTGATCTATGATGTACTAGTTATCATGTTTGTGCATGTCCTGAGTTCTTCGTTTTGGTTTTAGGGCACATATTTACACCACAAGGAAATCAAGGCTGCACAGGGTATCAAAATCACTGGTCAGGTGAGGGCAATACATCAATGCATTACAGAGGATATTTATGTAGATTTTTCTGTTGATTTTTATCTCCTGGCTCATCTTACCGAATGGTGAACACCTTTCAATTCAATTGCATGTTTACAGGGCCTAGATCATGCTATTGCTGGAACTGCTCTGTATGTGGTAGGGCCTGATGATGATGTGGAAGATGTCAAGGAGGCAGCGATGGAAGACATGAAGTCTGTCATGAGCCGCATTGATAAAAGTGGTGAGGGTGTTTATGTACAGGCTTCTACCCTTGGATCGTTGGAAGCTCTGCTGGAGTTCTTGAAGTCTCCTGCAGTGAAGATCCCTGTTAGTGGCATAGGGATAGGCCCTGTGCACAAAAAGGATGTCATGAAGGCCAGTGTCATGCTGGAAAAGAAAAAGGAGTATGCTACCATTTTGGCGTTTGATGTCAAAGTCACTCCTGAGGCCCGGGAACTTGCAGATGACGCGGGTGTAAAGATCTTCATTGCTGATATCATTTACCACTTGTTCGATCAATTCAAGGCTTATATCGACAATCTGAAAGAGGAAAAGAAGAAGGAAGCAGCCGATGAGGCAGTTTTCCCTTGTGTTCTCAAGATTATGCCGAACTGCGTTTTTAACAAGAAAGATCCAATTGTTTTGGGAGTTGACATTGTCGAAGGAATCGCTAAGGTAATATTAATATTAATATGAATCGCTAGGATGTTAGTGTGCACGTGTCCTCCCTACTAAAAAGAAAAAGTGTGTGTTGAGTCTGTCTTTTTGGCTTTCTGTGTTTCTTTCTTTTACCAGGTTGGCACTCCTATATGTATTCCTTCCCAAGATTTTATTGACATCGGTAGGATTGCTTCCATTGAGAATAACCATAAACCTGTTGATACGGCTAAGAAAGGGCAGAAGGTGGCCATTAAGGTATGAATTCTATCATTGGACATCCTTTTCTTTGCTCCTCTCTCGTTTTCTCTGTCGGGTTTTGCCTAGTAGGGTAGCCAACAAATGAATGAGACACTGATTGTTATCAGTTCACACCATCTGTTTGAGTTTTATTATCTTCAGTCAAGTTCAATCTGACTCTGAATTTGATTCTGATGTTGCCAGATAATTGGCTCAAATTCAGAGGAACAACAGAAAATGTACGGCAGACACTTTGACATCGATGATGAACTTGTCAGCCACATTTCAAGGAGTTCCATCGATATTCTGAAAGAAAATTACCGGGTACATATTCGGGACTTTGATATCCGTTGTTGTCAAGTGGTTTTAAGTGATTCCCATAAATTGCTGACACTGTGCGTGATGGATTGAATGGATGTACACAGGATGATCTGTCTATTGACGAATGGAAGTTGGTTGTGAAGCTGAAAAGTATTTTCAAGATACAGTGAGGAGTTGGAACTTGGAACAATTACTCACAGAGGGGCTGGATGATGCTCCCAATTGGGAAAGTAGTTTGACTGGTGATACGTTTTGCAAATTTAAGCTCCGAAGGACGATGAGAGTAAAGGTGGGTTTTACTGCAGATTCTAAGCAGCCTTTGTGAGAAGTCACCTCTCTTCCTGGCCACCAGTTGGTTACTACAATTGCGGGAGCATTTCTCGATCATGATTGAGCGATTCACTCATCTGGTTTCCTTTTCTAAAGTGCTGGTTGTGGCCGGCTGGCCGGCCTAGTGTTGTTGAACACTGAACAGAGAGCCCAGTATGCAATGATTCACCAAGGTTAGCTGTCAGACGGGACACAACAAAAAAGCAGCAGTTTTTTTTTTACCTCTAGCTAATGAGGTTGCGATTTCCTTTGAGACTTTATTGAGTATAAGAACGGACATGACACGAAAATAATATTTATTTGATAGAAAATAAATATAAAAAGAATTATAGGTTCAAATATTACAAAACACAAGTAAGAAAAATAATTATTTGTTGTTGTTAGAAGTGTCATAAAGATATATACGTAATTACTAACAAAAGTAGAAATGGACAAAGAAGTAAACAAAGCCAAATCATACTCGATATATTTCCAATTTTCTTTTCCCTCTATTTGTTACTTTTCTCAAACATTATCGATTAATACTATCTTCCTCCGTCCAATTTTCATCTTCTTTTTCATTCTCTTCATTAAACACAAATACGAGTAGGCACGAGTACGAATAGGCACGACACGATTCGAACCGTGCCCGGGCCTAGCAAAGTTAACAAATGGGTTTGCATGACACGACACGAAAATTGACGTGTCGTGCCAAGCACGACACGAAATAAATGGGTCCAAAGTGTGCCTGTACCGTGCCGACCCAGCACGACCCAGCGCCCATGTACAATGGTGACCCTCTATCGTCTCCGGCTCCCTCTATCTAATCTCAATGAGTTCCAATATCAAAGAAATGACTTTTCTCTCTTATGATGAGTAGATAGTTATTAGGGTTCATATTTCCATTTGGATCAAGCTTTACCATTCTTTAATATCCCGACCAATTTTTTCACAAATTCCTATAGTCTCCAAAAATTATTATCTCAAGCAACCTATCGGCATCTAACGTTTGGTGGCCAAGAATGAAGGGGCAATTGAAGGAATTGGTAGAGAAATGTGATGTATGCTAGACGTGCAAGACATAAACTGTTCCATATCCACGTTTGTTGTAACCATAAACCATCCCTCATTCGTTCATTCACTATGTGTTTCATGTGTCTCTACTCAAGCTGGCTCATTGATTCCTCAACTTACTTTGTCGGATTATGATAAGCAAGGTAGAGTGAAGGTGGAACCTCTACTGATCGATCTTAGCTCGTCGTCTCACGTCTCGCAAGAATCAGGCGGCAACACAATTCCTTGTTCAATGGTCTCACCATATTGGGCCGAGAGTTGTTGACTGACGTAGACAGCCCACGAGAGGGACATGCAGCCCATGCACTCACAGAGCCCACGTCCGGATCGGCTGCTCATTTTGTCCTGCACTCCAAATATGTAACCCTAGACGATGATGATTGTAATATAGGGTATAAGAGAAGGCTTGGGGTATCAAGCCGATCAATCAATCAATAAGATCAGACAGTGTTCCTCGTGGATGTAAGCCTCACACAACGTGAGGAAGAACCACGTAAATCAAAGTCTCGTTCATACTTCCGCATAATTTTTACATGGTATCAGAGCTCTAAGCTCCCGGTGACCTTGCCGTTTCATCATGAGTGACGACGATGTCAGTTCCGTCGTGAATAACAGTGAGAAAAGGCCGGCGTCGACCAGTGTGAAGTCGGAGGATGAGTTGCCCGACGAACTTCAGCTGTGTAAGTCTGACGGCCCCGGCAATATGCTCGTTGGTGATGTTTTAACAGCCTCCAATTATGGCGAATGGGTCCTTGATATGAAGGACGCTTTGCTCGCCAAAAATAAGTACGGTTTCGTGGATGGTTCTCTCGTCAAGCCCGTCGACCAGCCAGCAATGGGAGCATGGGTCCGTTGTGACGCCATGGTCAAAGGATGGTTGAAAACTTCTATGGACAAGGAGATTCGTAGTAGTATTCGGTTCGCGGAGAGTGCCCGCATGATTTGGGTGGATTTGCAAGAGCGTTTCGGCCAAGGCAGTTCGTCGCGTGCATACGAATTGCGCCGTCTCATATCGCTCCTTCAACAAGAGAAGCGACCGGTCTCGACTTTCTACACGCGGTTGAAAGCTCTTTGGGAAGAGGCTTCTGCTATCACCCCTCCTCCGATCCGTACTTGTGGCCTGTGTGTGTGTGGCGTATCTCGTCGCGCTCGCGAGCAGCAAGAAAGCGCTCGTGTCTTTGACTTCCTAATGGGCCTTGATGAGGCATTTGGTGGAGTGCGAACTCAAGTGTTGGCGATGAAGCCAATTCCTAACTTGGGAGAGGCATTTAATATCATACTGAATGCTGAACAACAAAAGCTCATCACCCAAAATAGGAAAATCCAACCTGAGGCAGCCGCCTTTGTTGCTCAGGGCGACCATGACAAGTCGCGCGATCGGGATCGGAGCTCTGGCGATCGAGAAAAGCTTCGCTGCACACATTGCCACAAACAAGGTCATCTTCGTGAAACATGTTATGAATTGATCGGGTACCCGCCACGTGATCGTGATCGGGAGCGCCCTCGTGACAAGACGGGCAATCGCGGTCCTCGTCGTGGGCGTAGTTCTGGTGACAACAGTCGTGATGGGCTTAGCCGGGAACCCAAGGCCTCCCAAGTCGAAGCTGAGCAGAGTCCAGTGGTCGGTTTCACTGTAGCCCAACTCCAACAACTAAAGCAATTCTTCAAGCTCTCTGATTCTTCTTCGGACGATCCCGCCGCTCACATGGCAGGTAATATCTCTGATAGTTCTGAATGGTTGCTTGATTCAGGGTGCAACGAGCACATCACTATGCATGAACACTTATTGTCGCGTACTGAATTGCCCGTTAATAGTCATCCTGTTCGCATACCTAATGGGGATAGTCTCCCGGTTAAACTCATTGGATCCGTTGACTTACAGCCTGGTTTTACTCTGCGGCGTGTCCTTCATGTTCCTGAATTTCGGTGTAATCTAGTGTCCGTGAGCCGACTGACTCGAGATAATCATGTCGCGTTGATTTTTCTTGATGGATTTTGCGTCATTCAGGACTTACTCTCCAAGAAATTGATTGGGAAGGGTGAACTGAAGGATGGTTTATACTACTTACGTCTGTTTGGGCATGGTAGGACGCAAGCTTGTGCGGTTCAGCAACGCGGCACGACCACTACAGTTGATTGGCATGCTCGGCTGGGGCATCCCTCTCCTGCTAAACTGTCTTATGTTAGCAACATGTTATCTATGTCTTTTACTATGAATAATGATGGACCCTGTCATTCTTGTTCACGGGCCAAACAGTCACGTTCTCCTTTTCCTCACAGTATGATTAAAACGTCTAGCAGTTTTGAACTTATACATGTGGATCTTTGGGGCGGTTACAAGGTGGCCTCTCTTAGTGGAGCTTACTATTTTTTGACTATAGTCGATGATTTCACACGTGGTGTTTGGGTTTATTTGCTACGTTACAAGTCAGAAGTGAGTCGTCATTTGTTACAGTTCTGTCATATGGTGCATTCGCAGTTTGGGAAGTCTGTTAAACGGATTCAAGCGGACAATGGTGGTGAATTCAATACCGAACCATTGCGTGATTATTATGCTCATACAGGAATTCTATTACAGACATCATGTACTGACACTCCTCAACAGAACGGAGTCGTTGAGAGGAAGCATCGTCAGATTCTTGATACCGCTCGAGCTTTGCGGTTTCAGGCCAGTCTTCCGCTTCGTTTTTGGGGAGAGTGTATACTCACCGCCGTCTACCTCATTAACATGTTGCCCACTACTGCAACAGGGAAGACGCCCTTTGAAATGTTATTTGCTAAACCTGCTGCTTATCGTCACTTGCGTGTCTTTGGTTGTCTCGCCTACTACAAGGACACGCACAGTCATCTCGACAAGTTTGATGCTCGTGGTCGTGCCGGAGTGTTTCTTGGTTATGCTGCTTCTCAAAAGGGCTATCGTATATACGACTTAGTATCCCGACGCCTTGTCACTTCTCGGGACGTCCAATTCCATGAGCAGAGTTTTCCTTTTCAAAGTGATATGCAGCGAGAACTTCATTGGGTCCCTCGGCCTACCTTCCACCTTGACTCTGGCCTTGAGAAAGCTGCTCGGCAGGTGGGGAGGGTCCATGATGAACGTGCCTCACCCTTCCATGAGCATAATAATAATGTCGAGTCCACTCCTGCTGTTGACTTGGCTGTTCCCCATGATTCCTCTTCATCACCACATGATCCTGACTCGGCCGTACCACATGATTCCCCATCTTCGACGGGGCATGAAGAGAAATCCTCACGTCAGTCTCCATGCATGCAGCAGCCGACTACCCAACCCGCGGACAACCCTGCTGCTGACGCACCTCCGCTTCGTCGGAGTGATCGTGATCGAACACGGCCAAAGTACTTGGCCGATTATCACACTACCCTTCCAGGTGATAAAGGAAGTGTTTCCCCTGATGTTAATTATCCACTTGCCTCTTTTGTCTCTTATGATGGCTTTAAGCCTGAATATTATGCTTTTCTCGCAGCCATTACTCGAGGAGAAGAGCCAACTACTTTTCTTCAAGCCATGCGTGATCCAAGGTGACGTGCCGCTATGACTAAAGAAATCGAGGCCTTGGAAGCTAACGGGACATGGAGTTTAGTCGATCTCCCGCCAGGAAAGCGTGCTATAGCTGCCAAATGGATCTACAAGATCAAGTACTATCCGGACGACAGCATTGAGCGTTTTAAGGCACGCTTGGTAGCGAAAGGATACACTCAAATCGAGGGGTTGGATTTTCATGATACGTTCGCACCTGTAGCGAAATTGGTCACTGTTCGATGCCTCATTTCTGTTGCCGTCGGCAAAGGTTGGCACCTTCACCAACTCGATGTTAACAATGCGTTCCTCCATGGTGATCTTGACGAGGAGGTGTACATGGAGATTCCACAGGGGTTTCGGCAGCCTGGAGAAACGCGTGTTTGCCGTCTCCACAAATCATTGTATGGTCTTAAGCAGGCCTCCCGTAATTGGTACCAGAAGTTCACTGCGGCACTGTGTGAGTTTGGTTTTCGCTCTTCACCGGCTGATGCTTCTTTGTTTATCTATCAGCGGGGGAGCACATTCGTCATAGCCCTTATATATGTTGATGATGTACTCCTGGCTGGGAATGATCTCCCATTCATCTCACGTGTGAAGAGCTTCCTTGATAATCGGTTCAGCATCAAGGATCTAGGACCACTCCGTTATTTTTTGGGTATTGAGGTCGCT